AGCGAGGTCTGTCTGAAGAGAAAAAAAGATGCTTTTTCAACAACTACATCCCTCCCAAACCCCCCCAAGCCCCCACTATACTAGAAAGCCCAGCGTCTCTAACACCCACATCACTGCTGAGCCCAGAGCTGGGACGCAGCTTGTGATAGGATAAGCAGCTAAGCTCACGGCAGGGACCACAGCCCATTCGTGCAGCCGAGACCACAGACTCATTGTGAGGGCAGCCCTCTAGCTCAAAAAAACTCCTGAGGGAGGAGACCCATAGTGAGCGTCCAGTGGGCACAGCCCTCCCCCCACTCCCCACCCCCAAGTTTCCTCAAAGCTCCAGTGTCTTCTGGCCGCGTGTCCCTGTGTAAGATCCTCCCTCCTGGGCAGTAGCCGCTCTATCCACCAAACAACAAGGTTCGATGGCAGCCCTCCTAGGCCTGTTCCAGGTCTAATCATCCCCAGGCCTGATCGAGCCACTTCCTGGGTAATTGTGTGAATGTACCTTATGCTTCCTGGGCCTCCGTTACCTCTTTTGTAAAATAGGAGCTTCGGCACTTGTACCTCAGGGCCATTGCAAATGTTAGTGGAGCCGTGGAGAGTGTGGACTCCAGACCCAGACGATCCGGGTATGTGATTCTGGTGTGAGTCTTCCAGAGACGATGACATAGGAAAGTGCTTGGCTCAGGGCTGGCACACAGTAAATAAACTCTGGTTGCTTTTCATGGTGTCAGCCGGTAGCCAGGGGACTCACCGTGTGCCTGACTTGGGTATGGTGCCCCTTCTCTTGCAGGACAATGCCATCCTCCAGAACGTGGGGCCTCCTCCTGCTGGTAGGCCTGTGCTGCCTGGTCCCTGCCTCTCTGGCTGACAGTTCCCAGGAGACAGATGCGTCCAAGCACAGTGACCAGCACGCCAGCCACAAGATAGCCCCGAACCTGGCGGACTTCGCTTTCAGTCTCTACCGCCAGATGGCCCATCAGTCCAACACCACCAACATCTTCTTTTCGCCGGTGAGCATTGCGACAGCTTTTGCGGTGCTCTCCCTGGGGTCCAAGGGTGACACTCACACCCAGATCCTGGAGGGTCTAGGTTTCAACCTCACCGAGAGAGCAGAGGCTGATATCCACGAAGGCTTCCAGGATCTTCTCCACACCCTGAACCAGGCAGACAACCAGCTGCAGCTGACCACCGGTAATGGCTTGTTCATCAGCGAGAGCGTGAAGCTACTGGATAAGTTTTTGGAGGATGTCAAGAAACTGTACCACTCAGAAGCCTTCTCCATCAACTTCCAGAATCCCGAAGAAGCCAAGAAACGGATCAACGATTATGTAGAGAAGGGAACCCAAGGAAAAATTGTGGATCTGGTCAAAGACCTTGACCCAGACACAGTTTTTGCTCTGGTGAATTATATCTTCTTTAAAGGTAAGGTTGCACAACTAGCCTGAACTTGTTTCCATGGAAACATCCCCAAATATTCTCAGTCAGTTCTTAAACATTCCCTGGCAGTGCAGGGTGTGACACGGCTATGCATCTCTGCATGTATTATTCCAGTGTCGTCACACAACCACTAAAACGCTTTCCAGGATGAAGTAAGTTAAGGGAACGATGGGCTAAACAGTCAAAGCCTCATGTTCCCTGCAGGACTTTTCAGAGCCTCTCATGCATGTTCTCATGTGCATTGCCCATGCCTACCAGGGAGGGAGGTAAAACATGCAATGTCTCCCCCCACAGAGAGCCAGAAAAGCAAACTTCCGCAGAGTGTATGAAGGGAATAGAGTTTCATGGAACATACTTAGAACAACTTTAGTGCAGTGGGAGGAGGAACCCGTGGGCCCCAAAGGGCATTCTGAGGCCACTTAAACAGTCCATGGAAACAGCCTGGGGCAGGGGAGGTGAGGGCCAATGTCAGGGGATGTTTCCTTCACACTGTGGGCTCCTTGATCCGAGGCCATCTGAGAGCCCGAGGATGGAGTCAGCCCGTCTTGGGTCCCAGCTGTGCTGTGGGACTTGACACAGGTCTTGGTCCCTCTGCAGCCTCAGTCTCCATCTCCCATCCAGTGAGAAATTTGGGCTTTGGAGGCCCCGAGATTCCCATCTACTCTGACTTTCCAGGATGGTGACATTCAGTTGGTAGAGCAGGGAGGAGGATGGCCAGGCCCCCGCATTTCACATGTTGGTCCAGGAAAAGGCCATCAGAATAAGAACAAGAGTGATTTTCCTGAATGATAAGAACCGCCAATTCACAAGGGGCAGGGAGACTTGGACAAGGAGGTGCCACGTATGACTGACGCCACTAATTTTCATTTAGAATCTTCCAAGCAACACTCAATTGAATAAGCATGAAATACAAGTTAAAAGCTTACTCTGCCCAGCCAGAATGGTATCCCTTAGTCTCTACAATACAGAAAATCTGGACCCTAGTCTAGTCTGGCATCATCCTCCCAAAAGTCGTTTCAGTGGATGGATGTGCGTTTTAGCTCCATTTTACAGATGGGGAAGCAGAGGCTGAGAGAGAAGCATCTCATCAAGGAGGCTCAGGGCTGCTTTACTCCCCGACATGTACCTAAACCTCCCCCATTCAGGCTGAGCTGCCCCTTCCCCTCTCTCCAGGCAAATGGGAGAAGCCCTTCGAGGTTGAGCAGACCACCGAGGAGGACTTCCACGTAGACGCGAGCACCACGGTCAAGGTGCCCATGATGAGTCGCCTGGGCATGTTCTACCTGCACCGCTGTGAAATGCTGTCCAGCTGGGTGCTGCTCATGGACTATGTGGGCAATGCCACCGCCTTCTTCATCCTGCCCGACGAGGGGAAACTGGAGCACGTGGAGAGCAAGCTCACCAAGGAGGCCCTCACCAGGTTCCTGGAGAAGAGATACCGGAGGTGATGCCCAAAGCAGGGGCTGGCCTGCTGCACCAGGCCTGGCCACGGGGGCGGGGGAGAGTGGACCCACCGCCTACAGGCCAAGCAACTGTGCATGGCCTTGGGCTCCCAGACAGAGGCCAGAGTCAGGTCAGGTAGCACCAGCCAGGCTCTGTGAGAGGGACACTGTCCACAGCTGAGGAGAAAAAGTCCTGACCTTTGGGACGTCCTCCCCAGCATGGACACTGCCTCTTCTTGTTGCCAACACCAGGTACTGGGAGAGCAACACCAACACGTACTGTGGGAGAACCTAGAAGGGCATGGTGGGCTTCCTGGCAGATGCAGCAGTTGAGTACGGAGAGCAAGGGGAAAAAGTCCATGGCTCGACAGGGGGAAAGGCAGCTTGGAGAGGCCAGGAAAGCAGAGGCCCAGAGTGCGGAGCCCCAGCACGTGTCTGAGGACGGTCCCCGCTCCTCTGTCACTAGATCAGTGTGGTTGGATTAGACTTTGCATCGTGAAGTAATATTTTATCACGCACCCCAAATTAGGACGTATCTCTGCATTCATACATGCCCATGTCCTTATGAATGTTTTATCACGTACATTATAAAAATCTACATAAATGTTAAATATGTGCAATATAAACATATATTAATAATCAAATCAAAAATGTTAACTACATGAATAAATGAGTACGATATAAAAACACATAATAAACATATATGTATAAATGAATAAAAAATACAAAAGAGTAGCAGGCTAAAATGCAAATAGAAGTATTAGTCCCTCTTCCCCACCCCACCCCAGTCCCGTGTTCCCTGCCCAGGAGGCTGAAACAAGAACGAGGAGGGGCTGAGTCTAGAACAGGTCAAACAGAGCCTGAGAGCCAGTCAGCTCACTCATGGCAGACCCTTCTCGGGGTCACACTTTGTCCCCACGGAAAACGAGAGCTGAGCAATCAGCCCCATGCAGTCACTCACCATTCACTGGGCAAATGTCACTCAGCACTTGACACCACGCCCCACGTTCCCCTGGGATTCCACCCACAAGGAAGCCCTACTCTGAGGGCGACCAAACCCTGCAGGGCAGTGTGCAAAGTGCTGCCACAGGACACCCTGAGTCTGCCTGGAGGGCTTCTCAGAGGAGGTGGCATTTGAGAGGTTTTGTAGGACAAGAAGATGCCTATCATTCAAACATTCTCCGACACAGGTGTAGAGGACCCAGACAGAATAAACCAACATTCGACCTCCATTGAGTAAAGAAGCGGGGGGCCGGCCGAGTGGTTCAGTTGGCTAAGAGCTTGCTCAAGAGTTTGAGATCCGAGCAACAGCGGTTCAATGCCTGGCCTGAGTTGAGCTGCCACTGAGCTGCCAACAGGTGGCAGGATGGCTCAGCTAAAAAAAAAAAAAAAAGCGGGGCACTAAGTGGGAGAAATGACCAGAAAAGGAAACCATTTCAGTGCTGTGAAATTCTTTTGTTTTCTAACTATTATGACAGGTCTGCCAGTTTACATTTGCCCAAACTGTCCATTTCTGGAACCTACGAACTGGGAGCTGTCATGTACAACCGGGGCATCTCCAGGGTCTTCAGCAACAACGCTGACCTGTCCAGGATCAGTGAGGGACCACCCCTCAAGCTGTCCAAGGTGAGTTTGTCCCTGTAGGTCAGAATGTGTAAGAAGACTGCAGCTCAGGGGTCAGCTGAGGAAGAGACAAAGGGACACAAATGCACCTACAGACTGAGGTCCCTGAGGAATGCCACTGGACTCACCAAGACTGGGATGTGGTGAGATGACTGAGTGGAGGGGTGGCCTCATGGGCTTCTGACATTTTAAGGACATCCTCTGTGGTTGTGTCACTGACCCTCTGTCTCATCTTTGGTCAGAGCCTTCCCTTCTTTGGGCCTCAATGAACCCATAGTTACAAAACCAAAGTTAGGGTCAAGGATTTCAAAGGACGTTCGGTCCCCGTGTCCAGTGACATTGGGAGCTATTGACGCGTCATCAAGTCTGAGTTAATGAGTGAGTTTGGCCCAAAATGCCATTTATTCAGAAGAATTAAAGGTGACCAACTACGGTTCAATAGTGGCTACAAACTGAGTGCCTGGCTCTGAAGGTCCCCATCAACGTCCTGGTCCCCAAGGAGCCTACAACCTAATACTACTAACAAGAGATATGCCAAGGAAGACAGAAAGTTCAAGTAAATCTTGTAGCTCCTGAGGTGGTGGGTTGTTTCCAGGGAAGCTGAGACTGTTGGTCAGGAAGGAGAAGTGAGGGTGTGCAGTTGGAGTCCGGCACAGGCCTTGGGAAGCTGGATAGAGGCCTGTGTGCCTCCTGCAGGGAGGCGGGACACGGAGCGGGAAGGGCGGGCTGGTGGAGACAGGCCCAGAAAGCCCTGCCTCCGGGCACCACGCTCCTCCCCAGGCCTTGCTCCCAGGCCTGCTGGGCAATGGGAAGCCTGTGCCGGCTCAGAACAGGACTCTGTGCTCTCTCCCCTCCAGGCCGTGCACAAGGCTGTGCTGACCCTCGACGAGAAAGGGACAGAAGCTGCTGGGGCCACATTTCTGGAAGCCATTCCAATGTCGATTCCCCCAACTGTTGAGTTTAACAGGCCTTTCATCACCATCATCTATGATAAAAATACCAAGGGTCCCCTCTTTGTAGGAAAAGTGGTGAACCCTACCCAAAAATAACTGTCTGTCTGGTTCAGCCCCCCCTCCCCACCCCCACCACTCCCAGGCCAAGTCCCCTTCCTACATGACAATAAAGAATGACTGGCCTGGCCCAAATCTGAGTGTGACGTGCAAATCCCTCATCCTCTTGTCTCTGAGTCTCCCTTTACGTCGCCAGGATTGTGTGGGATCCAGGCTACAGCAATCTTTCATGCAGGCCCTATATTAATGTGTGTTAGACATTTACCCTGTCCGGGAGCTGTGCTGGGCCAAGAGAACATGCTGGCTGAAAGCCACACTTACTGCCTCTTCCCCCTTCACTATGGAAAAGCGCCATGTTTCCAGTCTTGACCGGGATTTGCTAACAGGGAATCACACTGCTCGAATCCCAGCCCGTGGCCCCTGTCTCCACCAAGGGTCCACCAGGTCCCCTGCTAAGCCCCTAACCCCTGTGCCCTCTCACCCTGCAGGGCGGCTAGCGCCGGCTGCAAGGCTACCACCTTGGTGCTCCCCACACCTCCAGCTCACACAGGGGCACTGAGCTGCCGTATCTTCAGCAGCAGGGTGGGAAGGCCAGGTCCCCTTCTCATCCCACGTTGTCACCTGAGCCAGGCTTGCACCCTGATTGCAAACAGCTCTGGTTGATCTTTCTAAGAGCCCTTTCCAATGGAACTGGACTGGGAACCCCTATCCTGTCCGTGTCAATCCATCTCTGCCCCAGGTCCTTCAAAAAAGCAGGTCTCTTCTCCCCAGGGGAAGATGATGGCCTCTGCTCTTGGTCCGTGTCACCTGTTCAAACTCACCAGGGCATTCAACTCCCAAGCCACTTACCCTACGTCCCCTTGTCCACCTTCAACATGTGGCCAAGATATCCTGGGTGGCTCTGGAAAGTCTTTACAATGATTCTTTGGTCATGGGAGAGGAATTATAGCAGACCGTTAACCGCCACTGGCCCTGCCTGCCCCCGCTGGCTGAGCTCTGACGGGAGACACATTTCAATGTGCTTTGTTCCTGGCCCCTGGTCCTCCTTGTGGTCTTCGGAGAGAAACCACAGCTTCTGAGCCAGAACTAGAGGCTGTCCCGGGAGCAGCCCTTTTCACCAAGGGCCACATGGCCCCTTCCCATCTCCAGGCCTTGCCCGAAGGGCTACGGCCATCAGGAAGCCTGGCTGGGCCCCCAGCCTGAAGGAGCAAGCTCCCTGGACTCAAGGGGATTCGCTTGTCCTGGGGAAGGGTTGCCCCCTCCCACACAAAACTAGTAATCACCCTCTAAGCCACTCACTGGGGATGAATGCACTCCTAAAGAGTGTGGTTGAGTCATAGAAACTTACACCTTTTAAGTCAAAATGGCCATATACGTGCCATCTCACATCATTTAACATAATGGGTAAAGATTCAGCGGTTTCCCAAATAAGCCTCATATCTTCTTGAGTTTTCTCTGCCTAGAGACTTCCAGTTTCCACAAATTCCAATAATGATATGAACATTGTCAAACACCTACAGTGATGCCAGACCTGAGGGTCTAAGAACCTGGATCAAATTCAGTCTCTGCCACTTTCCAGCTGTGTGACTTTAGTGAAATCGCCAAACCTCTCTGAGCCTCAGTATACCCTTATATAGGCATAAAACCTACCTTGAGTTGGTGTGAGGTTCACATTGAATAGTTCAAATAGTTTGTAAAGGATAACAGAGCAGGGTGCCCAAGTCAGGGCCTTTATTTGTGGCATTTTGAGCTCTTTCTCTATGCCTGGCTCCTTGGGAGGGGTTATTCAAGCATTTTCTCACCAAATCCTCATAGCACTGTAATGCTGTGAGTGGAGCTACTTTTTTTTAATGCCCATTCTGTAGATGAGAACACTGAGGCTCAGAGAGGCTGGCTGTCTTGCTCATGGTCACAGAGCTAGTAAGTGGCTCCAGGGACTTACTTGTTCCTCCAAACCTCACATCACCCACGCTTCCCCTAGGACGCCCGGTGGACTTATGCAGAGCTGGATTCCTCCTTGAAGTATAAAGAAGGTTGGGGGCCCACGCACACACCTCTGCAAGAAAAACACCCCTTGGCCCCAGCTGGAAAGCAGCTGATCCGCTATAGCTGTTCCCACCCCCCACCCCCACTCCCAGTTTACAGAGTGCATAGCCCTCAGCAAACAAACTTCACAACATTTCCCACTCCCCAATATTGGTATTCCATGGGAGTAAAGGGGCAGATGCAAAGGCCAGGTGGAACTTTGGGAGTCCAGGGAAAGGCCAAGAAGGCTGAATGAGCTGGGGGCACTCACCTAAGATTCCATCATTTCACTTTAGAGAATGGCATGTCCTTACATTAGTCTACACTCTGATTGGCTGAGATCCAATTCAAATTGGCGAACAGCCCCCAGAGGGGAATTCACTGGCTCAGATGGGAACCAATAGGGTTCATCGTGGGGTGGGCAAAGTATCAGGGCCTCCTTGTCACAAGGAGGACTAGAGTTTGCCACCAATCAGTCAGGACAGCCACAAGCCCCAGCTTTGCCTACTCTTTCATTGCTTTCATGCTACAATGGCATAGTTGACTCTTTTAGGGAGGGCGCAGATCTCAGTGGCCCATGCAGGGATCGAACCAGCAACCTTGGTGTTATCAACACCATGCTCTAACCAACAGAGCTAACCCAGTCACTCCTTTGCCTACTCTTTAGAGCATTTAAAATATATCCACTGACTCTCAAAACCAGTCCTTGAAGGACACAGGCTAGGAATCGTTATCTCCAATTTACAGATGGGAAAATGAAGGCCCGGCAAGTTGGAAGGCCTGCCAGACAGGCCTAGAAGGCAGGTCCCTCCTTCAGGCCTGGGCTGCCCCGACAGCACGCATTCTGCAGACATCTCAGACCTTATGAACATCTCCAACCTCCAAGTTCACACAGGGTACGCCTCTCCGGCCTATCACCCGCAGAAGACACAGCTGCTGAGGGGTTCTGGGCTGGTCCAGGTCAGTTTTCCTCTCCAGCAAGGTCCCAGCTCTTCTCTGAAACAGATGAGAAGGAAACACACAAGCGGATCCAGGCTGAGGCAGGGACGACATGGCGGTGACATTTATACCTCTCTATCAGTTTGCCGGGAAAGACACACCAATTCCATTTTAAGCCTAAAAACCAAACTTTTAAGTTTAAGTGCAAGTTCTGCCCCGATTGGAGGGGCACCTGAGGCTCATTCATAAAATGAAGACCAAAGCCAGGGCTGCCTCTGGGCTCTCACACAGGTGCACTGATTCAGAAATGGGAAGCACAGGTTACATGCTGATTTCTCTCCCTTGTGCTCCCTTGAGCCTCTCCACAAGCCCAGGGAGTGGGCATTTGTTCAACAAGAAAACGCAAACATGTCCTGGGTATCTGCAATATCCTAGGGATAGCGAGAGGAAGACCCAGGCCCCACCCATGAAGAACGATGGCCTGTGGTGGTAGATAACGGGTAACAAATGAGGCTTTGCAGTGTGGTGAGTATGAACATGCCAAGTCCTTCCAGAGCCATCAGCAACAATCCACAAACAACCTGGACAGCTGAGAGCTCCCGTAGAAGCTGGAGCCTTTCGGATGCTGTTTTTTGTTGGACGTTCACGACTGGTGCTGCAAGCAAAGCACGCGGCCGCCCTCATGGCCAGACCCTGCACGACTGCTTCGGAATGAAATCGCACCAAGTCTTGCAGGACCAATGGCATTAGGGCTCCAGGGTGGAGAAATCAGAGAAAGGCCCTCTCACCAAGGCAGCTCCCTCCTCAGCGAGGACTCAGGCAGCAGCCCAGGGTGTTAGCCATTGAGGTTCTAAGCTCTTATGTCACCGCACCAAACCCCAGCCCATCCTGACTGATGCAACTAGAATCCAAGAAAAGACACTCAAAGGAGCCTTCACCTAAAAAGCAAGCCTTCAATAATGGCTAAGGTCAAAAAGGACAAGGAAAGGCGGAAGGGCAGCCCTCAGAGGGAACTGGAAAGAAAATGTCAGAAAAGGGGAAATAGTCTAGGTGGCCATTGTAAGCATGTGCCAGGAAAGTTGGGGGGTGGGGAGGGTGGGAGGTGAAGTCACACAGGAAAGGATAACAGCGGGACATTCCCACAGGAAAAGCCTGACCCCAAGTGAAGCTGACAGATAATACCAGGGATATTTGCCCTCAGAAGTGAAAGCTGTCTTCCATGACCAGGTGTCCTCTTGGTACTTTTTATCGCTTTGGTTATCTGGAGACAAAGTGAACACCATGCAATGAAAGATCAGAGCTATTACAACTTTTTTAATGCCCCAGTGGGACTTTCACAGAGAGCACAGTAAAGAGAACAAGTTGAAATGTGTATTAACTTAAAAACTTTTTTTTTTAGTCTGCAGTTATCAGTAGCCTCAAAGTATTAATTACATTAATATAATTTCCTTTAGCTCTGAGGGGCCTTTCAGCATTAAAATGTTAGGATGAAAATGCTAAAGGCAGTGCCACAAAGTAGAAAGAATTCAGGCACCCTAAATCAGCCTCTAATTAGTATAGAACCCTGAGCAGGTCATTTGGCCTCTGTGTGCCTCAGTTTCCATTACTGCAAAACGGGACTAATGAGGCCTGACTCATTCAAAGTTCCTTCTATGGGTTATTCTGCAAAGTGGTTCTTAGCCAAATATTAAACACTAATCAAGACTGCAGATTCCAGATTTTTTTTTTTAAGCTGAGCCATCCTGCCACCTGTTGGCAGCTCAGCGGAAGCTCAGCTCGGGCTGGAAACTGAACCGGCGACCCTGTTGCTCAGAGCTCACACTATTGAGTGAGCTCTTAACCAACTGAGCCACTCTGCTGGCCTAAGACTGCAGATTCCAAAAGCTATAGTTTGAGGCTGGCTTCTCACTTCCCTGTCTCTTGAAAGAGTAAATTACAGCTATTCCCACAGTTGGCTACGATGGAACTTAAGCCAGGAGTCAGACAGCCTGGGATCATTAACACGCTCCTGGGAGCTGGAGAAGTCGCTTCGCCATTGCGAGCCTAGGTTTTCTCACCAGCAAAATAGGAGCATGAAGGTCCCTTAATGTCTTTGATATTCTGCAAGATACTAACTACATGAGGGTGGCCCAGTGTCATTCTTTCACGTGGTTGCCCTGAGCCTTGGCACT